AGAGAAGGTTAAGAATATGTTGGGGCCAGATCTGTGGTGAAGGTCGAGGCTAGGACTAAGTCACTGTAGACCAGCATCGATCTGTGCACTTCGATCAGAGACTTGGTCAGCGCCCACGATGTCTTTCTGGTCTGCGTTCTAAATTGTGAAGGACATCTTAGGGCAAGCAGTCCAGCATGTCATACAGTAGGGAGCCCTTGTGCGTCTCACTACTAGAAGGAGGTCGCCAGAGCAGGGAATGGGGGTTAGGAAAAGAGAGTTCTCCGAGATGGCAATTCCAAGTCTTGAGAATCCGATCAATGAAAACATCTTTCAATGTGCATGATATCAAGCACCATACCCATAGTAAGAAACCTATTAAAGCGCCTTCATCAATAATGATAAGTGCATGGGAATACATTACATGCAAGTAGTACTCGAACAGAAGCACTTTTTATCTTGATAGAATTTCAAGTTATGAAGACCGTACTTGCTGCAGTATGAACGGTCAATACTCATGGTGTGGTAGTGCTGATGATATCAATGAAAACATTGTGAAGTCTAAATCCAAAAGAAAAACAATGATAATCAATGTGCAAAGAAAGCATCAGCCAAGCCAACTCAAAGTCTTGCTCGGCAGCCCAAAATCCCGACCATGAGAATTGAATCTGTCGAAGAGCGCCATGTCAGCGGGGTCCACTAATTGGAAGCCAAGCGAGTTTGGCTTGAAGTTGGGGACACAGCTCAGGCTACTCAGAGTAAGATGCCACGGCATGTTACATCACCCTCGGCGGTCCGACCATACCCGCCAGCAAGCCGAATGAAAGTCGGTTATTTGGGCCACGCCACGTCATATCCCCTAGAGCCTCAAGGTGTGATGTTGTCCGGGAGGGTCGTACCAGGGAGTGGGAGCCGGGTACGGACCCAAGTGGGTAACAATCCGATCACCGGGCACTCGGAGACAACACCACTAATGTACCTTAAGTGGGTTACTTAGGGAGAACATCTTCTTCTCCAAAAAGTCGATTACAATATTGCATGTCTTTTTCAGGTATGGCCTTACATATATACATATTGCCAATTGGATCCGGAAGGGAAAACTCTGTACTACTAATCCGTTATATTCTCTTCTTCAGAAAGTCAATTACAATATTGCATCTTTTTCAGGTATGCCCTTACATACATACATATCGCCAAATGGGAACCAGAGGGAAAACTCTGTACTACTAATCTGTTATGATTCCTCCCCGGAGAAGAAAAAAAATATAACAGATTGTAGTATAAGATTCTGGAACCCTTCTAGAGCTTGCTAATATGTATGTATGTAAGGTACGTCCCTTTGGAGGCAAAACTGGTGCGAGGACTCCTCGCCTATACCAAGCTCGCCCCTTAACTTTCCCCCAAGTACTTGCCGGATTTACGACTACTCTTGGAAATGAGAGGCGACAACCCCAACAAATGCCTTTTATATTGCTCCGACGGTGGCGATCTCGAGCATCATTTGGCAAAGATTGCCCATTAAACGCCATCGGAGTCAACCGCATTCTGCGGCATACGACGGCCAAAGCCGGCCGCATTATCCGCAGCAAAGTTGCACTTGTGAGGTGCAGTTCGGTGCGGTTCGGTGGGGTGCTGTGGATACATATACAAAGTGGTGCCACGTGTACATTGTGGACCATCCGGTGCAATGCCGTGCGGTGTGTATCTAAGGATCGCCAGCCAAATATTGTCCGGTTTGGCAGGGTATAAGCCGCGACCAGGACGTGAGGATGACCTGTCCAACCCGTTTTTCCTGTCCTCCTGTCGATTCATGCACTCTATCACAGTGTTCACACATATTGGGTGGTATGGGTAAATTTAAGCCGGTTCTCGGACACCACAATCTCCTGTCCCTCCTGTCCTCCTGTCGATTCGACCCATCGACGATAGAACATGATTTTCCAGTATATTGCGCGGTATGGCCTTATATACATACATATTGGCAATTTGATCCGAAAGAAAAATTTCTGTACTACTAATCTGTTATATTTTCTTTTCCAAAAAGTCAATTACAATATTGCATCTTTTTCAGGTATGTGTTTACATATATACATATCGGCAAATGGGAACCAAAGGGAAAACTCTGTACTACTAATCTGTTATAATTCTTTCCCTGGAGAAGAAAGAAAATATAACAGATTGTAGTATGAGAGTTTAGAACCTTTCGGAAGCTTGCTGATATGTATGTATGTAAGGTCCCTTCGGAGGCAAACTCGTGCGAGGGCCCCCCGCCTATACCAAGGTTCCCCAGGCTGTACCTTCTCCCTAAGTGCTTGCCGGATTTACGACGTGCTATTCTTGGAAATGAGGTGCGACAAGTCCAAAAAAGCCTTTTATAATGATCTGACGGTGGCGACCTCGAGCATAACCTGG